CCCTAGCTCCACTAGTAGAATCTGGGGGGTAATGTGCACTGGGGAATCTTGAGGAACAGTGCTCTGGAAATAGTGCAATAGGTGAACCATGTTCCATAAATTTTTAAAAACAAACTGATCCCAATTTATTCAATCCAAAGATCGGCAGGGATTGGCAGAAAGCCCTTATGCTTTACTCATGATAGTCCATGAATGACGTTCCAACATAGTACAGTAATACCACCTGGTCAGCTCCTAGGTAGTCTTATGAAACACCTCATTTCTACAGAACCTGTTGCAAACTGTATAAAGTATACTGAATTATTGGTTGCTAGTGCAGAATTGGTCTGATAAAAGCACACCTGCCTGGGCAACATTTGTCAAAGAGTGGGATTCTGTGAAAACAAGTTAAGGGACCCTGAAAGATAACGATGAAAGACTCACCCCTCTGTATATCTAGCTGAAATGGTTAAGATAGCTACAAGGGGTAAGCAAAAACCCTCAGATGAAGAAACTGCCAGATCAGGCAAATAATGTGAGATAAAAGTATTGGGAGAGGTCTACACAATAACCTTCAGTGGGCAATTTGACTGGGCTGCTAAGGATATACAAATGTGACAAGTCTGATTAGATATGACTTGCAGAAGAATCCTTGCCTTCAGAGAGAACCCAGAAGAAAAATTCATTCTATCATCTCTAAAGGCATTAGAGCAGGCAACAAAACATTTAAGACCCTCAATGAACACAACCACAATCGAAAACTGATTGCACCTAGAAGTGAGAAATAGTGATCAGATGAATAGGTGAAAAGGACTTTAACCCCTTTCCTGTCTGACAGTTAATTCATATTTATGATCACTTGGTTGCATAAAGACCACTATAAGGATCTCTTGTGCTCTCATTCCAAAGGCATAGGGATTCAAGTGATGCCAACATTCCTAGAAGAGAAAAAACCATTTGTGCCATGGGAGAAGGAAAGGTAAGAGTCTGACATTTTACTCAGTAGCATGGAGCTGGATGGGAGTCAACTCAGCCTGACTGAAATAAGATGAAAAATAAAAAATACCCAGACTGATGACACATGGAATTCGAGCAAGGACAGATGTCTCAGCACAGAAAATTAATATTGCTTTGGTTGTATTTGAAAGTAGAATCAGGACATTATGTTCTGACATTTGATGAGATGGTACCAGCAGAAACCAGTTATCCATGGAATGGTTTGTGCACAGTGCAATGCAATGGAAGTGACGAGAAAATTCTTACAATACAGCAGAACCCATGTGACACAGATGCGAGACTAAAGATAAAAACTTGGAACAGCAGTACTTTATCCTTGTGTATAACACATGCTGATAGTGGTGGACCTGACTACAGCAAACATGGACATCTACAATCCCTGTAAAAAATGTCAACTCAGATTGATGAATGAGTAACTTGCGAATCTTGGAGATCCTTGGAATATAGATAAGAAAGATCGACAACTGGACCCCAATCTCCTGTCTGCATAGGCCCAATAAGCAATAGGATGAAACTCAGAAGAACTAGCATGACTCACTCATTATTTCCAGAGTAACCAAATTCTGAGAGCACTAGAACTAAGTTCAAAATCCCAATGATCTTCAAGAGACAGAAACCCCACAGGTTGGGTGCATAATAGAGGTGAAGATATGAACTGAATGACAAATCCTGACTCAAGGACCCCTGAAGTCCTCCTGTATTCGTGGTTAAGATTACCACATGTCCAGAAATTCTCAGTGGTGAGCCCACACAGACCTTGAAGGTATACAATAATAACCAATGCTGCTGGTGATCCAACCAAGCAGTGGAACCTTTGGATATAGACAGAATCTATTCTGGGTACCAATGTACCATGAGGCTGATGACCCCCTGTATGAGCTGACCAAATTTGAGACTCCAACGATAACAGAAAAGAATGTAGCAGCAAAAAATTGAACCAATGGGCATATTAACAAGGGATCCAGTTCATCATCAATGAAGTTGGTGATCCTAAGAGTCTTCCAACAAAGTGAAGTGAAAGGAAAATAAAATAATGAATTTTAGAGTTAGAACACCATAGACTTAACCTGTCCTTCAGGAGACACAGATTTACTCAGGTTAACTACAAACCCCACCTTAGAACCACAAAATTTGAGGAGCAGAAGTGTTATTTGAGAGTAGGAAAATCCTTCCACCTGTCAGTGGTAGGCTAAAATCATGAAGTTCCAACAACATGTTTGACAAGGCATAACTATTCCTTCACAAAACTGAGAAGTAAACCTTCCAACATGAACCACAATATCCGTGGATGGAGAAAAAACATAAAATTTGCTCCCAGATCTTTCAACCATCAAATAAGGAGCAGGTTCAAAATCAACCGAGAAAAAGGCCAAAGCACACTCTCAAAGAATCAACAGAAGAAAACAAATCAAAGGCAGCTTATCTCAAAGTGGCCTCTTTTTTTTTCTTTTTCATTTTCTTTTTTCCTTTATAGACTATGTTGATTAATGTTGATTGGAACAACTTTTTTGTGAAGTAAATTTTTGTTAGAGCAAAGCAATGTTGGGTCATCTGCAGCATCCATCAATGTAATCAATTCCCAGCCCCCAGTGCTACAAGTCCACAAACTCACCACTGTCCCACAAGGGGACTAAAAAGCCAACACACTAAAAGAAGGTCCAGGAAAAAGCAAATCAAAATTTTCTCT